TGGGGGCAATATGCTGACTCTGTAAACCGCTTAGAGAGGGCTGAAAGCCCTATGAAGCGGTATATAAGTCTAACTGCTATTGCTATTGCTTCCCAAAAAGCCCTTCATCAAAATACAATCACCCCCATCCTCGAAGCAAGTGCAAATCCCACCGCTTCTGTCCATACGTGATGGAGAGCAATTCGCCCGTTCAAGATAAGTAGGATCTTCACACTACGTTTGCACAACTGATCCCCTGATAATATCAAAATCCCTTTTGAAAAGAATGTCAGAAATAGTTGATATCTGAGTTCTGAATGACACCCCTGTTGTTTGCAGAAAATAAAATAAAATAAATACATCTCCCCCTGGAAATGCAATCTAACAAAATTAAAAAAGAATAAAAAGGAAAGAAATGTGGAAAGAGAGAGAGAGAGAGAGAGAGAAACATGAAATCTTTTGCTGTGGCTGCCTGAGGCATATTTTAGTATTTGGTTGGTTGCCAAGCTCAATTTATTTCGCTGTTTCACTTTTAATCGCTCACTTAGTTGAACGTAAGTAAAAACACACACAGTGTTTGTTTTCAGGATAGTTTCCTTGCCGCTGCTTCAGTCTAAATATATTGCTAACAGCCTCGGAAGCTGTAATAATTTGCTTTGAATTCTGCAGGAGCAAGAGGAATTATTCCTTGTTCCTTTTCACAGAACCAGGGCGCAGTTGTGGCCCGCCAGAGTACAGCAGAGCTGGCAGTAGATTCAGACAGTGAGGAGGGTTGGGGAGGAACCTGGGCCAGTCTTGGAGTCTGGGGAAGGCTCTGATGATGAGGGCTCTGTGTCGGAGGCAGATGGGGGGGCCAGGGCCGTATGCCAGTTATCAGCTCCTTCAGAGTCAGACATCAGTGGGGCAGAAGAACAGCTGGAGCCTGTTCCCAGTGTGCGCATGCTCAGAGCTGCCAGGAGAAGGGAACAGCTCAGAAATCAGGGTAGACTTGGGAGTAAAGTCACAGGTGGAAGGTGATTGGCCCCTCCCGTAGGGAACAAAAGAGGAGCAAAAGGGGAGGGGGCTTTTGCAGGAAACAATTCAGTCATTAGATTCATTTAAGGAGTGTGAAGATCTGTCCGTGAATCCCAGGGACTCTGTGCCCAGCCTTTCCTTGCAAAGCACTTCAGTTGGAAAGTGTTTACATGGCAGCTTTCCAAGCTTGATAAGGTCTGTGGTCATAAATCCACCTTTGAAAGACTGTTTGCCAGGCCTTGGCTGAATGTGAATGAGAGGAATTCACATTTGTTTAATAAAAGGGGTTTTGTTGGGATAAGGAATCTGCTTCGTGCTTTTTGGGGAAGCCCGGGTCAGAACCGATACCACAGTGTGGCTCAGGACCACGGGCTGAAGGTAAGACAAGCTTTATTTCTATAAAACACACCGCCACCACTACCACCAAAGCTTCGCATGGACAGCACTCAAAAAACACCGAAAGGAAAATGTGACGACAACTTGACATGGACATGGCTTAAGATGGGAACCATCCAGAAAGAAACAGAAGGTTTCATACTGGCTGCTCAAGAACAAGCACTGCAAACTAAGGCCATGAAAGCGAAGATACAAAAATCCACCGACAACCCAAACTGCCGACTTTGCAAGGACAAAGCCGAAACTGTTCACACTTAATATGTGAGTGCACATAATCGCGCAGAGTACAAAGCTAGACACGACCGAGTTGCTAAATTAAATCCATTGGTCATTATGTAAAAAAACCCACGACTTACCTGTATCCGAAATGTCATGAGAACCTAAAATGGAAAAAGTTGTCGAAAACGAGAA